GGCGAGGTGGCTGCATGCGGGCCCTGGCAGTGGGGCCTTCGGTGGAGCTCTCTTTGGGGTTACGGCCCGTGTGAGGGGTGTGCCGAAATGGCGAGGTGGCGGCATGCGGGCCCTGGCACTGGGGCCTTCGGTGGAGCTCCCTATGGGGCTACGGCCCGTGTGAGGGTTAGTCGAAATGGCGAGGTGGCGGCATGCGGGCCCTGGCACTGGGGCCTTCGGTGGAGCTCCCTACGGGGTTACACAAATTGTGCGGGGTGTGCCGAAATGGCGAGGTGGCGGCACGCGGGCCCTGGCTCTGGGGCCTTCGGTGGAGCTCCTTACAGGCCGAAATGACGAGGTGGCGGTATGCGGGCCCTGGCACTGGGGCCGTCGATGGAGCTCCCTATTGGGCCACGGCCCGTGTGAGGGGTGTGCCGACATGGCGAGGAGGGCGGCATGCGGGCCACGAAACCTGTGAGGGGTGTGTGGAAATCGGGGCTACGAAACGTGTGAGGGGTGTGCCGACATGGCGAGGAGGGCGGCATGCGGGCCCTGGCACTGGGGCCTTCGGTGGAGCTCCCAGTGTGGCCACGAAACGTGTGAGGGGTGCGTGCGAGGTATCAGCATGCGGGCCCTTGCACTGGGGCCTTCGGTGGAGCTCCCTACGGGGCTATGAAACATGTGAGGGGTGTGCTGAAATGGCGAGGTGGCGGCATGCGGGCCCTGACACTGGGGCCTTCGGTGGAGCTCCCTTTGGGGCCACGAAGCGCTGTACTGGGTGTGCCGAAACAGAAACACTCGCGGCGGGCAGAGGCAAGGAGGGGGAGAAGGAAGGACGTAGAGGAGGAGAAGAGAGAAGGAGACGCGGGGCGCTGTCTCTTCAACACGAGGATCCAACACCACAGGATGGTTGGGAAAAAAAGCTCCGGGGCGGGCCCGGCGAGGGGCCCAGGGGGAGGTGGCCCGAGCTCACCAACGCTCCCCCGGGGCCCCTGGCGGCTCCATTTCTACTTGTTTGGCCTCCGAGATACCTAAGACTCAATCTGCGCTCGCCCAAGCAGGGTTCCAACACGCACCGGAGTCCTCGAAGAAGACCATGATAGCCTCACTACCGGAGAGGCCTCAAAGACGCCCCAAAAGGGCTCCAAGACGACCAAAGCCTCAAGAAACGATAATCGTTCGAATCCATGAGCAACCGTATACATTGAACATATTCGCATGCTTTGTTTCATCAGCGGCAGACGCCTCCAGAGGCCAAATTGATCGCTCCAAGACAACCCCAGAAGTCCCTAAGAGGGCCCCAACACGACCGAAGAGGATCTCAAGACGGCCCAAGAGGTGCCCAAGATGGCCCAAGAAAGCCCCAGCAGGGCCCCAAGAGGAGCCACAGAGAGGCAACTCGAATTGACCATGTCGAGAGAGCGGCCACAGAGAGGGCCTAGAGATGCCTAGAGGGGCCCAAGAGGGCCCCCAGAGAGACCACAGAGAGGCCCCATGTCGATCCCTCCACCCAAAGAGGACCTCCGAGACCGCCAGCAGGCGCCCAAGAAACTCCCAATAGGCCCGAGAAGGCCAATAAGAGCCCCCAAAGACGCTCCAAAATAGTCCCCTGAAAAATCCAAAAGGCCTCACCCGTTGACTTCATGCCTGCTCTGGGGATCGGCGGAGTGCAAGCTTCTTGAGTAACGAAGGAAGGGAATAATCGTAGTAACAGTAGTAGTCATAATGAAAATACCAGTAGACGTGCCATTCGTGCACGTAGCGGTTGTGGCCGTAGTAGTGCTAGGAATAGCAGCAGCAGTCGTCGCCGTTGATGCCGTCGTCATCGTCATCGCCGTTGTCGTCGTCGTTGTCATCGTCATCGTCGTCGTCGTCGTCATAAGAGTAGCAATAGTAGTACTAGTAGTAGTAGTAGTAGTAGTAGTAGTAGTAGTAGTAGTAGTAGTAGTAGTAGTAGTAGCTGTAGTAGTAGTAGTAGTAGTAGTAGTAATAGTACTAGCAGTAGTAGTAGTAGTAGCAGTAGTAGTGGTAGTAGTAGTAGTAGTGAGAGTAGTTTTAGTACTAGTAGTAGTAGTAGTAGTAGTCGTAGTAGTAGTAGTAGTAGTCGTAGTAGTAGTAGTAGTAGTAGTAGTAGTAGTAGTAGTAGTAGTAGTCGTCGTAGTAGTAGTAGTAGTAGTAGTAGTCGTAGTCGTAGTCGTAGTAGTAGTAGTAGTAGTAGTAGTAGTTAGTAGTAGTAGTAGAAGAAGTAATAGTAGTAGTAGTAAAAGTAGTCGTAGCAGTAGTAGTAGTAGTAGTAGTAGTAGTAGTAGTAGTAGTGGTAGTAGTAGTAGTAGTAGTAGAAGTGGTAGCAGTAGTAGTAAGAGTAGTCGTGGTAGAAGTAATCGT